CCAAATAATCTTTTCTTTTCAATCTCTACACCACATTATGATCAATCTTTCTGACTATCTGAGCAAGACTGAGCCAAGAAGCCAATTCCAAATGTAACACATGATATAAATCTCTGTAAAGTGAGACTAATTCAGTATTTTATCAAAGAATTTAATCCCTGTGTAGGAATGCCCTTGTCCATTTCAATTTAAAAATTATTCAAAAGGCATCTGTTAGGAGCAGTCTACTTAAAATGTAGTGGTGGCCACTTGACCCTAAGAAAATAATTGGAGATACAGTCAGAGATTTATGTACAAGATGTTCATCTCAGTGTTATTTACAATAGTAAATTTTTAAAAATAAATGGCCAACAATATAAGTTAAATAAAGGTTCAGCCATATAATGGAATTATATACAGCTAATAAAATCTTGTATAGCATTGATACTTGACACGAGAAAATGTTCATAAAAAATACTTATTGGGAAAAAATGGTTACCAAGCAGAATGTTTACTACAATCCTAAATTTGAGAAAAAGAAAATATATAAACATTGTGTATACATTGTCAATGCCCTCCTGCCAGAGACCACCAGCATCACAAGTGTTGATTGAGCTGGGTTTCTTTCTTGATGCAGTGAGGGAGAAAGTACACCATGGAGAACTAAAGGGTGTGTCAAGAAGAGGATGTTCGAAAGAATTTGCCATAGTATTTGGGGAAGGTCGAAGTCAGTGGGGCTTGCTCTGAATTGGATTCTGTCAGGAAGCAGGGATTTTTTTTATGATAGAATGTCTTAATAAATCTTTATCTAGAGAGAGAGACGACTAGAGCAAGGCTAAAGCTGTAATTTGTTTTCAAAAGACCACAACTGTCACTCATGTTAGCCAGGATGAGGACACGCTTAGTCACTTTTGTGGTTTGGACAAGGTTCATGTTTTGTCTGTATTCAGACATGATTATGGAGTGGTCCTAATTTTGCCTTAATCCATCACAGATACAGAATGCTCTTATCTGACATTAGTGTTTTGGGAAACAGTTTATGTTCAACGAGAGAACACCAAAGCTTAGTTGTGTGTGCCAGGCCAGCTCCTAGCAACACCATGGCCCAGGTGATAATACCAGGCTAGCTCCTGGATGCCAGGGACTGATTTTCTTTTACACACACATATGCAGAAAAGATTCTAACTATTAAAAATATATTATTTATTAGATGTTTGTGATAGTTCAGGCACCATTTTAAGTGCTTTACATCTTGTAATCTATTTAATCCTCACAGCAATTATCTGGGGTCAGTATTATTATTATTCTCATTTTTCCAGAAGAGAAAAATTTTGGCATAAGGAGGTAAAGTTACTCACCATTGGGTGAGTAGCTAGTAGACAGCAGCTAGTAAGTAGTGGAATGAGGATTGAATTCAATGGCTACAGAACCAATAGCCTCAACTCTATATTACTGTCTGTGTGTACAATAAATTATCAACAGAGGTTACCTTTGAAAGGTAGTGGGAGTACACAGATACTGGTGTTTGTGTTTCCTCTTTTTCTTATTCTTTCTAAATAGTCTAGAATTAATATGTATTCATTTTTAATCAGAAAAAGTAATAATTTATGAATGTGCTGATAGAAGCTCTGTGCACAAGGTCCTTGTCCCAAATTCAAACGCTAATCTTTGATGGTGGCAATGCTCCCCCCCAACATCTGAATCAAAAGAGAAGAAAAATTGGGGATCGCACATACACACACACACACACACACACACACACACACACACACACACACACTGTCTTACTCTCTCTATTGCTCCAGCTCAATTTAGACAACTCTAACTGGATTACTCGCAACAAAAGGTGGCCCAAGATCCATTCTCTGGCAGTTCTGTCTCTGAATTGAAACAGGCAAGGTGGAAGTTCCCCCAAATATACATAAGGCCAGTTAAGAATAGCGTTGGGAGGACTAGAAGCGAATGCCTTCCTTGGTCGCAAAGGAAAGGCTCTCTCCCTGTAGAACCACATTGTCACCCTGGCCAGCTGAGCAAGGCAGGGTTTCTCCTTCTCTAAGATTCAGCCCAGGCACTGAGAGAGGGCACTCTGCTCTTCCGCATGTATGAGGGCTGACAGAAAAAGGCTAGAAATTCTAGAGACGAGGGCAAACCCAGGTTGAGAGGGAACCATTTGGAAGGTCAGAGACTCCAGAATGAAAATAGCTTTGCCAAAATGTTATAGGCGTCCAAAAAGACCCGTCGGCTGGTTTTTCCTCTCTTACTTTTGTCCCTGCGCTGGCATCAGGGCACATGAAATGTCGCTGTTAGTTCCCTGTTCAGAGAGTGATTTTAGGCCTCCTGAGAAGTGCCCACCCACTAACTGCCGCTGGCTCAGTCGCAAAGCTGGGTTCGCAGTATTCCCCACCGCCACCCCCTCCCCGCTCTTCCATCTTTCTGTCTGCCTAGGCTGAGAGCCACGCAGGGCACCCACCCAGTCATTTAGCACCTCGGTAGCGCAATGGTGGGTGGTTTCCCAAAGCGCGTGCCCTCGCAACCACTCGCGCTCTCCTCGCGGTTTGCAGGGGCACAAGTCAATGAGGCTTTTCCCTCCGCGATCATCGTGAATCAGCAAAGCGCTGCAGAGTAGCGGCGTCTCCGCGAGCAGAAATTAACATGCTGGAGGAAGAGCACAAGTGGAGCGTGGCAAGGGAATTTCTAGTCCCTTCCAACGT